ACATCGATGTCAGGATCCGCTCCGGCTGCGGCGTCTCAGTATACCGCGGGCTGTAGCTCGCGGTATACTGAGCTTAGGGTGAGGGGAGAACGCTAGTTTGTGTCCTCCCGTTACCCTAAGGAGAACTATGGGGAAAAGTCCTGACCCCATAGTTCTCCTTTAAGCTTCCATAGAGAATAAGGAGAGAGAAGCTTTGATTTTAGTGACATTGTTGTAAGATTTGAAGATGAAAAAACAATGTATGAATTGTAGTCAAATGGCCAATCGGGAGATGAACCATTCTGATCAGACATTTAAAAGGTGGGTTCTCCATGCCCGTGATCCCGCAAGTCTTTAGACAGCGCAGATCACATGCAAAATGCATGGAACCAATCAGAGTGGCTCTTTGCCTTGTGATCACTTTGATAGCCAATCACAACAATCACAGATGTAAACACGGCTTGTGTTTACATTTGAGGGCCCTCCCCTTCCTCTCACAGCGAAGCAGATCAGATCACAGCGATCATGGAAGAAGCCGCGAAGGAAGACTTGTTCACTTTGAAAAGGATTTATTGCAAAGTGAACAATTGAAATCTTTCATGTCAACCATTTGGCTTGTTCTGATTGAAGTAAGCACTTTGCTGCCATCCACAGGCCACAATCTGCAATTGCACTTTACTATATATATACCTCACTGGCACTTTCGTTTTTATTTAAATATATATAAACATTTTCAGAGTCAAGTCCTCACTTCTACCACCAGCGATTACAGCGTGCTGAGTAAGCCGACCAGACCAGGAAAGAGCACTGCAGCGCCCCCATTGGGCTAGCACCGCCCCATCCACTGAAATCAATAGAGCATTTTCACATTACGTCACTCCTGTCATGTGACGCAACCGGAAGTGACGTGATGTATCGCAGGAAGAGGTTAGATGACGGATTCCCCGAATTCAAGTCAGTGTGGCGGGAAGTCAGAAAGCCGGAACATAAACAATGAGAAGGAAGGGACAGTCCTCATCCTAATACAGATCGGGGGTACTGGTCCCCCAGCGTGAAGGTGGGCGTGGACTGAGGATTGATTTGTCTATGACTGTGATACGGACTGGGTGGATGATAGCTCCGCCCACAGTCCCGGCTACAGCAGCGGTCCTCCTGTGTTTTCAGGTAAACTGAGTTCTGTAGAGGAAGAGGTCAGCGATGGTTGTAATGGAGGAGGGGTGCAGGGCAGGGATCACATCGCTGGGTGAGGGTGCATGCGTGAGCATTGGTAGAAGGTGGGTGCAGGGGGTGCAAAAGTGAACAGGGTTGCAGGGGTCCCCGTTCTGGAAGAGGGGTGTAGGGATGAGCAGTGTCAGAAAAGAGTTAAACATTGTGCTGAAGTGAGCCGCCCCCGCTCTTTTCTGTTACATATTTATATACATTCTAACATACTCCTGAACCCCCCTCCCCTGTATACGAAGGTGAGAGAACACATACCGGCGTTCGCTCACTTCTCGATCCTGTCACTGCAGAGAGCCGTGGCAGGGGGAGGGGCTGGATTCCCCTCTCCCTGCTCCGCCAGCGCTGACTGGCGGAACGGACGGGGGAGGGGGCGGGTACAGCTGGCTCTGCCTCTAGATAGGCAGAGCCAGCTGTCAGTCACGCAGCTGGGCGGATCCAGACATAATTGTAGGGATCCGTTCCGGCTGCAGCGTCTCAGTATGTAGCTTGCGGTATACTGAGCTTAGGGTAACGGGAGGACGCTAGTTTGTGTCCTCCTGTTACCCTTAGGAGAACTATGGGGAAAAGCCCTAACCCCATAGTTCTCCTTTAATATCTAATCTGCTGGCAACAAAAGTGAGTACACCCCTAAGTGAAAATCTCCAAATTGGGCCCAAAGTGTCAATATTTTGTGTGGCCACCATTATTTTCCTGCACTGCCTTAAAAGAGAACTATGGAGTCAGGGCTTTTCCCCATAGTTCTCCTGAGGGTAACGGGAGGACACAAACTAGCGTCCTCCCGTCACCCTAAGCTCAGTATATAGGGAGCTACAGCCCGCGGTATACTGAGACGCCGCAGCTGAAGCGGATCCCGACAATTATGTCTGGATCCACCCAGCTGCGTGAGTGACAGCTGGCTCTGCCGATCTAGAGGCAGAGCCAGCTGTACCCTCCCCCGTCCCTTCCACCAGTCAGCGCTGGAGGATCAGAGGGGGGAATCCAGCCCCTCCCCTGTCACGGCTCTCTGCAGTGACAGGATCGAGAAGTGAGCGAACGCCGATATGTGTTCGCTCTCCTCCCGATCTACTGAGCCGACCTGCGACAGTCTCATTGTCACAGGTCGGCTAGAACTATGAGGTGAGGGAAAAGCACTCCTCATAGTTCTCCTTTAACCCTCTTGGGCATGGAGTTCACCAGAGCTTCACAGGTTGCCACTGGAGTCCTCTTCCACTCCTCCATGACGACATCACGGAGCTGGTGGATGTTAGAGACCTTGCTCTCCTCCACTTTCCGTTTGAGGACGCCCCACAGATGCTCAATAGGTCTGGAGACATGCTTGGCCAGTCCATCACCTTTACCTTCAGCTTCTATAGCAAGGCAGTGGTCGTCTTGGAGGTGTGTTTGGGGTCGTTATCATGTTGGAATACTGCCCTGCGGCCCAGTCTCCGAGGGGAGGGGTATCATGCTCTGCTTTAGTATGTCACAGTACATGTTGGCATTCATGGTTCCCTCAATGAACTGTAGCTCCCCAGTGCCGGCAGCACTCATGCAGCCCCAGACCATGACAATCCCACCACCATGCTTGACTGTAGGCAAGACACACTTGTCTTTGTACTCCTCATCTGGTTGCCACCACACACGCTTGCCATCACCTGAACCAAATAAGTTTATCTTGGTCTCCTCAGACCACAGGACATGGTTCCAGTAATCCATGTCCTTAGTCTGCTTGTCTTCAGCAAACTGTTTGCGGGCTTTCTTGTGCATCATCATTAGAAGAGGCTTCCTTCTGGGACGACAGCCATGCAGACCAATTTGATGCAGTGTGCGACGTATGGTCTGAGGACGGACAGGCTGACAGGCTTCAACCTCTGTCTACTTTTCCCAAAGACGACCTCTGGATAGGACGCTGAGCACGTGCACTCAACTTCTTTGGTCGACCAATGCGAGGCCTGTTCTGAGTGGAACCTGTCCTGTTAAACCGCTGTATGGTCTTGGCCACAGTGCTGCAGCTCAGTTTCAGGGTCTTGGCAATCTTCTTATAGCCTAGGCCATCTTTATGTAGAGCAACAATTCTTATAATCAGATCCTCAGAGAGTTCTTTGCCATGAGGTGCCATGTTGTACTTCCAGTGACCAGTATTAAGCGGGCCATAGACCTACAACCATCGCAAGACTTTTGTCTTGCGATGGTTGTAAGGTAATTTTAAAAACGTACGATCTGCCCATCTTGGTCAGGTAGATCGTACTTGCGATCAACGCAAGCCACGCCCCCCTGAGGGGCGGGCTTCCGATGACTGCAATGCTGAACGGGTAGTGTGCGCTTGCGCACACCAGCCCGTTCGGCATTTGTCTTACGAGCATGCCACAAACCAGCCGACAATCGTACGATGCTTGGCGGGTTTTCGAACATGCTTGTAAGACAAAAGTCGTGCGACCGTACAGTGGCAGAGGCTGCACGCCTTCCATACACCTTGCGATTATCGTACGATCGTGGGATTTCCCCGGGATTATTGTACGATAATCGTAAGGTGTATGGGCACCTTTAGAGATACCGATGTCACCAAATTTAAACACACCTGCTCCCCATTCTGTGAGATACTGTATATAAACCTTCCACCCAGTATACAGCATCCACACAACACTGCTGCCACTAGATGGTGCCATGGAGCATAGGCAATTCACGTGCTCCTCCGCGCCATCTAGTGGCCGTAATACGGTGTGACACATTCTCCCGGCCACAATGTGTATACATGAGCCCCATAGTGTAACTGGGCCTTGAAATTCCGCTCGACAGTGGAAGACAGTAGGTAAAAGTGGGTGAATGTAAACCCCCGATATAGACAGGGAACCTTGTGCTTTTAATAAGTACACTCCTTGGGTCCTGTCCACTTCTAAACGTTGCAGTGAAATATGCATACTTCAGTGCCCTAGTATGGCACGCCTGCACCTCAGCACACCACGGCATGTACGGTTCTCTGCACATATCGGTACCCCATAGCACTGGGCCAAACACACAGGGTCCATGCGTTTGGCACTCAATTATGCACAACGTGCAGTATTGCACACTAGGTACGCTTGCATTTTGCATTGCACACCATCCGTGATAAGGCAAATCGCCTTGCATTGGGGCTGCGGCCAGCAAATCTCCATCTCAGCTGTTGTGAAGGAACTCCTAAGGGGTGTGCACGGTACTGCAATAATGTGCTTTGCACTGTCGCCAGGTGAGAAATGAATGCGCTATTTTATTTTACCGCAAAGCTAGGGAGGTGCGTTGGGATGCCATTGAGATCATTGGCAACGTAACACACCAGCGCACCTACAGTATGGATAGGATCTAGCATGACCCTGTGGTGCAGAAAAGCCCTTCATGGCCATTTTGCTTGCGTTGCAGTACACCCATTTTAATGAACGTGCTGCCTGAAAGGAAAACTCCAGAATTTTTAAAGTCTTACTCTTGCGGTGGGGCTACCCGCGCACTTCAAGAGTTAAGCACTAATTTCGGTCTAGGGGGTAAAACTAAAGATGATATACTCACCTGTGGCAGTGACCACTCGCCTCTCTCCCCCTCCGCTCTGGCTGTGACTGTATTTGTTATTGCCATGCAGAGATGTGAGTGCGTCCTTGGTCTCAGTCATTCAATAGGGTACATTCTCGCCCCTATTGATGGGTTGCTGCACTGGGCTTGCATCAAAATTTGTCCTGTGATACCCATCACGAATTCTGCTGTGAAATATGGCGCTGTCAGAGGTGCCTCAGGACTGCCCCTTTAATGAATGCTTTAGTATCTATTTAGACCTCATGCTTCCTTTTTGTTTCCAGCTGGCAGATTGACTCCTCACAATGGGTGTCCATGAGTTATGGCCGATCCTGGAGCCCGTAAAGAAACACGTCCCCCTCCAGAGCCTCAGCGGGATGACTCTTGCAGTGGACTTGAGTATTTGGGTCTGTGAAGCTCAGTCTGTAAAGCAGATGATTGGCGTTGTTGCAAAGCCTCATCTCAGGTAACGTTTAAAGCCAAACTCTGGGTACAAAAACATTTCTTTTAACTATATTAATTAATAGCCACAAAGCTTATAAATCCACTTTGTGTGCCCCACATGCATTTGCAAACCATATATTACATTGTAAAAGTAGCAGTTGCATCATCACTGTGCTGTACATAGTTTGTGCGGTGAGTAGAGCTGTGGGAGGGACCCAGCAGGCCCCACCTATTACAGGAGACGAGACCAGTCTCCCTGCACAAGGAGAGAGCAGCAGTGACCGGTCTGTATTACAGGAGGGGGCGGAGACAAGACCAGTCACCCTGAACAAGGAGAGAGCAGCAGTGACCGGTCTTTATTACAGGAGGGGGCGGAGACAAGACCAGTCACCCTGAACAAGGAGAGAGCAGCAGTGACCGGTCTTTATTACAGGAGGGGGCGGAGACAAGACCAGTCACCCTG